TCCCCAAGCTGTTGATAACGCCGTTTGGACCAGCATTGCTGCTGCCGCCTTCTTCGTCACGTTCCCTTCCCTCGAACGTCCTCCTGTCCTCCCTGGTGCTGTCCTTCCCGTCCACCTGCACCCTGGTGGTCGTGGTTGACGTCCTCGCCCTGCACGTGGCAGAGCAGATGAGGGGAGCCACTGACACGCCTCTAGCTTTTGCTCTGCCGCCTCTTGTACACCCCAACATGGCGGCCATCGTCGGCTTCAGTAAAAATAATAAGAAGGTTAGAACAGCCCTCAGATATATAATAAAGTATTGCATATATAAAGTGCACACAAAGTAAAGTATTAAGGTATTGCAACATTAAGTAACGTTTTCGCGACAGTGAGAAAAAATAATTTCATGAAATGACATGGTTTTATTTTCGTGTTTCACTGGAATATATAAACTCGTACAGAGCATCCATGGTAGCTGTGATACCAACATCCGATGATAGTGGGGACAATGATAATATGGACTATAATAAATGGCACGATGATTTTAGGGTCTAGGAAATGATCTCGTCAACACTAGGCTAATTTTTAATTTTTGTTATTCCCTTCAAGATTGGAAATCAAGCATTCTTCGGTCAGAAAAAGCGGTATTGCTTGGAAGATAGTGAAATAATTTAGCGTTAAATTTTTAGACTGAAATTAAGGACTTTTACGTCATTGACCAATGACTGAGCAGAATAGATTGGTCCATGCTATTGTCGGCATCAGTGAAAATGATAAAAAGTTTACACCAAAACTCAGGTTGAAATTTTCGCGATATAACTTTTTGTCTCAGAGGATACCATGCATCACTATTTTAGTAACTTTCGAGCATATGAAACTTTGGATTGGTAAGTATTAAAGTTTCTTCGCGGATAAATGAGTTCATGAGAAATTTTTTTCGTGTCAGTTGATATGGCATGAACCATGCCTTCTGTTAACTTTCCTTGAACTACAACTACGCTTCTTTTTTCCTTTTTTATTTGTTTCCTTTGATTTCGCATGGACCATTCATAACTATCAACTTGTGGCATTTGAAACAGTGTGCATTGTTATAAAAACATTCATATAACAGGCTTTTTGGACGACCAAGCATCAGCGTTCAGCGCCATTGTTTCATTAAACGTTTGTGCATTTAAACTTTTTAACATGTCCAACAGGCCTTTCAAATCTTTCGCTTAGCTCAGTGGTTTCATTTTAACTCTTGCACATTTAAAACTTTTGTGAAAGCAAAAACAATTTTTAGCGCATTTTCTCATTTATGGAAAAAATGCATTATTGTGCTCGCCATGTCCATCTGTCCGTCCGTCTGTCTGTCCGTCCGTGACTTCACGTTTTCGTCGACGAGGAAATGCGCTCTCTATCACTCATTGCAGTGAGTACTGAGTTATATTTTTTTATAACAGGCCTTCCGCAGCAGCCAGGCATCAGCGTTCAGCTCTGTAGTTTCATCCGAGATTCTGCACGGCGTGACGCTCCAGCAGCTACACCAGCGAGTGGCGCAAAAACTGCGACGGCGACGCGAAGTCGAAGAAAAAATTCTGGCGCAGGCCACAATCATGAGTCTGGGCGATGAAAAGTCATTGCAGGTTAAAGAAACAACCACGAAAATTATGCAAAAAGGTGAGACTGTAATTCCGGCAGTTGATGCAATGAAGCAAAAGCAATTAGAAAAAGAGCCACAAGTTGACGCGTGTGTTTCAGAAGCCCCATCACCTGATAATCCGCACATGGAGAAACCTAAATCGGAGAGTGCTGTTACAGAATTACATCAAGCGAGTAACTCAAAGACGTACAAGCCAGTGTACTGCAGCGAAGATGAGTCTATCGAACATGAATCATTTGCGGAAATTCGAGCTAAATTTGACACAGCTCTTAAAAAGCTATCACCCACCGAGCCTGAGGGACCGAACACAAAAAACGTGAAGTCCGTTGGTAAGTCCGACGACACTCGTGTGGACAACCACACATTGAATTCAAATCCANCGTTGGAACACATCCATGCGACAACATTTCTTCTCGCTTCGAGTCACCGACATGTGGAACAGCCTCCCTGATAGCATCGTTGACGCTCCGAGTATGAACATCTTCAAAAACAGACTAGACGAAGCTATGCCTGTCTCTTATACACATCTAGATGTGTATAAGAGACAGATGCTATCAGGGAGGCTGTTCCACATGTCGGTGACTCGAAGCGAGAAGAAATGTTGTCGCATGGATGTGTTCCAACGCTGTTTTTTAGTTTATAGCCGTGGCCCCTGGTGTTGGTTCTTGTTTCAAATTCTAGTAATCCTTCTGGGACCTTGTATAAACCATGAGTATTCTTGTATGCTTCAATGAGGTCCCCACGCAGACGTCGATAACTGAGGCTTGAAGGCAAGCTCATTTAACTCTTAAACAAGCCTTGTAGCAAACGCTCAGTATAAACATGCTCAGCCAAGCTCGAGGGCATTGCCCTCAGAGCTATTAGTTCACAGACCACACCAGAAACAGCGCAACCCATACTAGTTACACCCCAGCATGTGCCAACCTCCACACTTACCCCGCTTCTCCACCTTGCAGCAGCCAATGAGGTTGGGTTAAATCTGATGACTTTTGTTTGGGTGGAGAGGCGGGGTAAGTGTGGATATAATCCAATG